CGGCATGAATTTGCCGGTCCCTTGAACGTCGTTACGTCAGCCGTGACCCTCGTGTAGTGCTTCTCTACATAGTTTCTCATGTAAGTGTCTCGCAGTATACGTATTTCTTTCACTTATTACACGTACAGTTATGCAACTCGTGTATTTTGTTGCAAACTACCGCAGTCGCGCAACTATTACATCTAGAAGAGAATCTAGGACATCGAGTCGTGAAGATCTAATCATGATTTAACTTCGCTCATTCTGATTACTGATTAAATAGAATATTTAAGGTAACTCTACTCTTTATGATCTACCTAAACGTTGAGGTTTTCAATATTATTGAAAATATGAGACAATTTCAATATTTATATGGGTGCAGTGAAGATTTAACTATTATATTTACGGAACTATCCACGAACAACATACCGGATACAGTACTTTACATACGTGAAGTTCTCGATTTTTTTAAAACCAATAGTCCGATTTAAAATACTGTAGAAAATATTTCTAAACATTAATTGAAAATATGAGATGTTTTTAATATTTACGCGAATGCAGTGAAGATTTAACTATCAACGAAACTATATCCATAAACAGCATATTGGGTGCGGTATTTTACATACGTAAAGTCCTCGATTTTTTTAAAATCAATAGTCAGTTAAAATAGAAAATATTTCTAAACATTAATTGAAAATATGAAATATTCTTATTTACGGGGATGAAGATTTAACTATTCATGTATTTTTAACTATCCATACAAATAGCATATCAGATGCAGTACTTTAGATTATACATATCTAGAATCATAAAGTTCTCGATTTTTTATTCCGTTCAGTCAATTCAGAGATTTTTATGGGACTGTAATGTCAATAATTCGATCGTTCCCCAGCATACCCTTAAAACAGATTAGACCAGATCGCTTGATACGATTCTATATTTAAAGACGGGATCAGTTATATTTCACTTGTGTTAATCTCTTAGGAGATCTAAGGCCCCCCGACGACGTTATTAGGTCCCGGATGACATGAGGGTCGAATGTCTAATCGACCTAGGAATAATGTGTCGCGTTTGCCGGGAACTTGGTCCCTGGCCGAGCTTGCTCCAAGGGATATTCTAATCCGCTCCTGAGAGCTCCCACCCGGTTCTCGCAGAATCCCAAGTGGGAAGAGGGAACTGAGAGGTGCCGTATGTGCCAGCCCTCCGCTTATTCGTTGCAAAGCTCGCTTGCCAGGATAGACGACGAAGAACAGAGGGTGAAGGAGAGGTCAGAAGGGGGAGGAAAACGATAATTCGGCTCATTCGGTGGTTGAGCTCCAAGAACGGAGACTCCAGTCCTCGCTCGGGGTGAGCAACTGCGGGCCATTTTCTACCCTCCCCCTTTCTCTTCCCTCTTGATATCGCTGTTAGACGGCGAGTACCGAAATTCCGTGCTAATCTCGATTTACGACACCGCGGCAAATCATATGTGCCTCTGGCGATTCTCTCTCTCTCGTGTCTTCGCGTTATTACCCGGTTATCAAGCCGCAGTGTTTCTGAACCATCGGCTGTATATATTGCGTGTGTCCTAGGCGTGGCAAAAAGGCTTGATGTTCCGGATTGTTTTCGAAAACAACTTTAAAAGACATATACAGATTATAAGTGAAACAAAAGATCCCTATACGAATAAATCAAATAAATAAGAAATCTCTAAATATATAATTGAGGCTAGATTTTGGTACTCAATAATATTTCTAATAATAATGACTACATTTAAAATACATCGTTCGGTTATATAACTGCGCGCCAATTACTATCGAATTTGTAACACGATTATAGATTGAAATAATAATCTCGAAAATTAAATTGATTATCGATTTGATAAAAAATACTAGCATTATGAGATACTGTAAAGATTAGCCTCGACTATATTTATAGTTTTCTCATTTATTTGATAATTTCCTTTAAAAGACATTTATTACGATCATATCGGAGACAAGATAGTTGAACGATGAACATGAGCTAACTAGAGTTTCTTCATAAATAGAGTAACTTCGGTATATACGCCACACCTATTAAAAACTTAATTTATTATTTACTATGTTGAACTGAAATTGTTGAACTATGCTTGTATCGAGCATACTCGACAACTATCTGCCGGTGGCGCATAGGATCCGCGAATTTATCAATTTCGTGTGTATTCCTCCGGAGGTTCCTGCTGGCCGGCGCGGCGGAGAGATTGTCTGGAATGTCGCCAGGCGAGCAATCGTTCGTCCAGCTGGAAGGAGAACTTTGTGAGGTGCACCTGGAAGTCTTTGTGAGAGAAAGTGGCGAAAAAGAATGTACGAAGGTGGACTCGAGGAAGAAAAGAGAGTATGGACTGAGGCAGATAGAAAGAGTGATGAACAGGGTGGAAGAAGAAAGAAAGGAAGGGAGGACAAAGTCTGCAGGGCGAAAAGACCACGAAATATCTGTCAATCGCAAGAGCGGGGAGGATCGCGGCGGCGAAGTCGATTTAACGCCCGTTAAGGAAGCAATTCCTTTAAGAAGGACGAGCACCTCGCCCGGAAGGACAACGTAACCCCAGAGATCCTTGACCCTTGCCGGGGTCGCTCTTACGACCTCTTCTCCGCGGGGAATCGCTTCTGCGCCGCCATTATCGGCGGACGAATAGAACATCAATAACCAATTTCGTAAGACTAATATCGCGAAAATTAGTTTTCCTCCCCCTCCCTCCGAGGTCCTCTTCCGCGCGTCCTTCGTATTTCATCGCCGCCGGTACCTTTCGTTAAAAGATCGTGGACCTGCTCGATAGCGACGTTCATGGTTTTCTTAATGTCCATCCACAGGCGAACGATCTCGTGAATCTCCTTTTATCGTCGCGCGATAGTCGTTTTTCTCCGCATCTTTCGCGCATCCCCTTCCTTTTTTTTTACACCCCCGGCAGATATATCGCAGTGGCGTCATTACGTCGAAGCGACGTGGCAAATTTTTTAACTCCAGGCATCCTTCCACGGGTTTGTAGAAACCCAACGACAAATTTAGTATTCTCAAATCAAAGTCCGTTACTACATTTTCTACTGAAAGCACCGCGATGTCAAACCTACGACGGATTGATCGGACTTCTTTCGTCGTATTTACATAATTCTCAGAGTTATTCTCAGAAAGAATGTTATTGGATCAAACAGTCAAGAGCGTGAGATCACAACAGCTTTTTTTTTAAAGTAAATCAGAAGTCGTAGTCATAGTGCAATCGTACACTATTAAAAATTTTTCATGTAATTTATTTTAATATACTTTTAAGTTACACAATTTGAACTTAATTTCATGACATTACATTAAATTTGATTTATAACGTATTTATAACTAAAAAGTATATTTGTGTACATGTACATGAAAAATGTACTTTTCATAAAATTTAAGAAATTAAATTTACATATTCATTATGTTTAAGTAACTATTGTAACTAAATTTTCAATTAAATCGTTCATTATCGAGCTTCATTTACACGTAAAGGAAGCATTTCTAACAGTGTAAAAATCAAAGTAAATAAAAATAAAATAAGAATAAATTTTATTAAATTTCGCGAACGGGATATTATATGGTAGACATACGTCACTCCTGTGCTTGAGACTCAGCTACGATCGCACGAAGTCTCGCGATGTTATGTTGCATGATCTAAGGAACACATCAAATCAAAAGAAAACGAAAATGACTTAATTTTGACATGATGAAAATCAAAATGACGATTTTTTGGTTATAAAATTTGATTATTTATTGACGTTAAGAATCAAAATAAAATCATTTTGATTTTTCGTTGATTTTGATGTATTCCTTGGAAAGGCGATGGCGTCCCATATAAACCGTGTCGGCGCAGATCGTACCGGGATGCAAATTCCACGGTTTTTCCAATAGCGTTGATGAATAAGGAATCGTGAGGTCGCGCGCCGTGTGCGAGTAATGAAATGGAGTACGGAAGGGAAGAGTGGCATAAAGACCTTGTTGGAAAACTGAGTTTCATCAAGCACTGGTCCCCTTTCTCAGCCCTTCTCGCCCTGCCCTTCTCTTTCTCCTCCTCGTGTCGCAATCTCGACTCCTTTGTGTATATACATTCGCTCTTATCAGAACGCGCGCTTGTAGAGGATGGGCGACATCGGAGAAGGCCCGAAACGAAACAGAATTTTGCGTACCAAAGTTGACGAAGCACCAGCCATGCATTATTCCGCCCGGCCCTTTGTGCGCACATCGTGCCGTATCTGTTACCAGTTTTCGCGCGTTCTCTCGTACTTTTTCATCGTTTTCTTTGTTGCCGTCAATGACGACCGCTCGGTAAAGAAATCGACTGGTGCATCCAACATGTACCTTTTTGTCTATTAACAAAAATTGCATTTAGGTGTTTTTGCTTAAATAACTTAGAATTAATGTTGCGGAATTATATAATAACACATGAATACATTATAGTCTAAATATAAATAACGTGATATAATTATGCAGCTAGTACACTGCGCGAGTGGCACGTCATGAACAAAAGCTAATCGATTTTAATAAATGTCACTCGTCCATATATCATAGCGTCGAATAAATTTGCAGTATAACAGACACTCGTTGAAGGTCTGTAAAATATTCCGGCTAAAATTTTAAGAACGAAGAAATGAAATTAAGGATCAATGAAACTAAGGATCAATAGTTCAAATATTTTTTCAAAATTTTATCATGATCATTTCCCATGTAAGTTTAATTTCTGCCATTAAAAAGCATTATGTTTTTTTATAATTATTTTTTAATTAATTCATCAGGTATCGAAATAAAAAAAATTTATAAGTTTATTTATCATTCTTTCTACGTTTAATCGCGTAATACATTAAACCTTAGAGAGCTTAATGAAAGAGAGCTAAATGTTTTTTTTCTGCCTTTAACCTATATACCTTATTTCAATCAATTCTTCATTTGTTAAGGTTTTTTTTTATGGAAAAAAGTGATGCTTCTTGATTCGCGATATAGAATTATCACAGCTTTAATTCGTCAAACGAAGATTACGAAATATGAAAAGAGGAACGAAGTGTGTCGTACAGACTATTAATTTGTCCAGTCCGAAAACATGCATAAGACCGAAGATTCAAAGAGTCACTAGCATGGATATAGATTCTTGCGAACCTAATCATGCTAAACCAGCGGCAGTTAAAGTTTACTCGTTGAAAGACGCTCAGTGGAAGAATCCGCCAAAGGTAAGGGAAGATCGAAGTTTTCAGATTTAATATATTCTACAATTTGCGAATACATTTAAGATGAGTAAATATTCATACAATAATACATCATCAAACTTTTGACTCAAGTTTGAGATAAAAATAGCGCTAATGTCGCTGCATTGTTCAACGTCTGACAAATGAAACTATCGCAATAGAGAGAGAAATGCATCAAAATTTTTGACACAAAATTGGATGAACATTTCACGCGAATCGCGAGGTATCCAATTCTCAGTTAAATCATGTGGCTTGTCGCTGTGTCGAGCATTTACTTGGCCCTCGCACGATATTGACACGCCGCGTAACGAGATGATGGTGTTCGAGCACCTGTACGGAATTGGTTAGTCGATACGTAGCTGCGTTTACCTGGAATTAGCTCGACAGTCGATGTACACTATAGCGATAGGTCTCTAATGGAGGAGGTCTGAGTCCCTGTAACTGTTATCGGGATATCGTTGAGGTCTTGGAACAAGTAGCCGAGGACGACAACGAATAGCGAAATGGAATGTAATTTATTTAATAGAAGTTGTCACAAATTCCTCCTAAAATTTCTTTACTTTTCCTTGATTTTCCTTCTAGACAAAATTTCATAATTTTCCTTGGCTTTCAATATTGTGAAATTTTTGATCTTTCATCCTGATTTAGAAACTGTTAAATATTCTGCAGAGATTAATTTAACATGGCAATGTAAATTACTATTAATGTCCCTGACACTGCTTGCATTTTTAACTAAGTTCATAGTATTTCAAAAAACTGTATGGATATTATGTACGTATATTAAACGTCTTTAAAACCAAGATTTCTAATTTTCCAGAAAATTTTACAAAATTTCTCGACTTTTCTCTGATTTTCTTTATCGTTTTTAATTTTCTTAACAATTCCCTGATTTCCAGTTTTAACAATCTTGTACGACACATTTATATTTTCATACATTTCAGCGATACTCTAATTTAAAATATAGTGTTAAATCATATTCTAAGAAACGTATAACTAAGAAAACAAAGATGATTAATATTGTATGAATCTAATTGCGTGTTTTTTTTAGCTATTTCAAATATATTTAGTATTCTTCATATTAAAATATTTAATTAATTTTATTATATTATTTATATTATTTAAAATGGATTAAAATGGATTAAACTAAATCCAGACATTCTTAAATATTTGATATGATGAAATTTGGGTCAGATATCTATTTAGGCGTTTAATTATTTGAACAATAATAAGTGAAAATTAATTATTTAAATGTCACCTTTATTCGTACAGTTCTGCGAATCTTTTCCGAAGAAGTCTCCACCTACGACCGGCACAATGATTTACAGAGTTGTGGCGTTTTTTATAAAAAGCACTATTGTTCTTGGTCTTATCTGTTGGACCTGTTCGGAAGGTCTTTGGGGCAGCAATACCGAAACGGAAGAGCTGTATTACAGAATGATGAGCGTGATTTTTCCTGATCGACAGGTAAATAAGTGTCAAATTTAGCATTAAGAGCTGCACGCACAGGTTTCTCTTATAACGATACATTTTTCGTAGACAAATTTGTCGCGTTCCAAGGAACTAAGATACTCCATGTTCAAAACGTACAATAATATATTGATGAAAAGCATGGATATCATGGTCAGCGTGCCACGCGATGTGTATCGAAGACTGCAAGAATTCTTATCCCCGTGCAGTGCAACGAAGGAAAGAGAGAGGAGAGCGAAATGCTTTGACGAGAATTGAGCAGAAATATTTCGCAAATTGTGCGTGTCAAATTTTGAGATACCAGTGTGGATGTACATCATACGATATTTCTTTTACAAAAAATTTGTATGAAACTTTTAGTTTGGTATTCAGAATCGAATCTTATTTTAAGATCATCTTATGTTAGGTAATGTCCTAAGATATAACTCTGTGAGTGATTTTTTTAAGACTATACTTAAAATGGTTTTAAATATAAGAACCAACTGTGAATATCAACCTGTGGTTTATGACATCTTAAGATGGTATTTAAGGCGTTTTATTTCTTAAATAAGAATCGATTATGAATACCAGCGTATATCTTAATGTTGTGCGTGGAATTTAAGTGAAAATGTGATTGACTGTGAGATTAGAAATTTCTGTAGCGTTAACGTATTTAAAATAAACGTATTTAAAATTTGCTGCGTTGTTCGCGCAGGTTGTTGAAGATAATCTAACTAACGTATCTTTTTCTTTCTTAGTTTTTACATACAGAATACTACATACAGAATCCACGGATATACGAGACAGGATTAAAATTCCGCGCGACATCTTTTCCATTTTTTCTCTCCCGTGATGCTCAAGGGCACACATGGGAGCTTCCAAGGTGTGCATATCAAGCGATTTTTATGGCCTACCTATGTATCGTCATAAAATCTCAGATAAAATCTTAGAAGCCGAGATAAAAATTTGCGTTTTCATTACATCGCCCTTTCATATCTCTTCGCTGCAGTGTTTTATAGCGTAAATGTTACCATATACATGTCGCGATGGCTGATGCACGAGCCGTTAAGGAGAGAATATTTTTTCGAGTCAGATTCGCGCGATGCATTCGCTTTCGCAACTCACGATACCTAAAGAAAGCGAAAAGAAACTTATGTGCGAAATCAGGACCTTCTTCGGGCATACCGTGAATTTCTCAAAGCCGCCAGCTCCGCCGCTCAGACTCCTCACGCGTCGAGTATTCCTTTTTCGTCGAACCAGAAAGAAGTTTCGACCCCCATTTTTCAGGAGCGTCTATCTCCTTTTTGCGGCACGTGAGCGTCGTTTGTCAGGGCACCTATTTTACTTTATAAGCGCGCACCTCGCTCTCCCTCGAGTTGTATACCGCGTCGTTGCGCGCGGAAAGGGGCCATCACACGTAAAAAAATTTCAGTCGTAACCGTAAGATCGTAAGCATGTCGACACAGTTTGACATTTTAAAACATAAGATCGTAATTTTCATTGTGACTTTTACTTACGACCTTACGGTTTACGACTAAAACTTTTTTATGTGTAATAGTCGTAATACCGGCTTAGTGAATAAAGAGTATCAAGAAAGAGCATCAATGATGCATTATTTTTGGTGTGACAGATGTAATGTTACGAAAGTGAACCAAATGAGACTTAATATTCGATATCAAGTTTTATAATGTATCATATATTTTATCAAATTAGATTAGTACTTCTTTACCATTTTTTCTTTCGAAAGTATATGAAAATATGTAATTAGTTGCTGTCTGTATGGCTTTTCTAAAATCAAACATTTTATACATAATAATAATAATTTATAATAATATATATACCGCTATTTTTATATCTTCGGTGACGTTATGTATTATAAGATTAATTCAAAGTAGAGATCTTTAAGTAAGAGATTGGACATTACAAGTTTGATCAGCCATATTTTTTAGGATTTGCCTAAAGTAGAATGAGATTAAAGTGAGGTATCCACGCACCTCCGTTCTATCTTATGCATCTATCTGATTCCATCTTAAGTAGTTCCTGAAAAATATAAGGGACCAATCAGAACATTGTCTAAGTGGTGTCCAATCTGTTATTTAAAGATCTCTACTTTGGATTAGTCTTATAATACATAACGTCACCGAGGATACAAAAATCTTGAGGATCTCTAAAATCCCAAGTAAAACCCAGCAATAATCGCGATACGCTTCTCTTATTTAATGTGCGGTTTTATTTCGCCAGGACACATTTTAAATGAATACCTTAGAGATTCGGACAATTAAACAGTTTATTCAGATCAAAACATGGTGTAGTATATACATACGAGTTAGTTAAACGATATCGGGTCGCGTGACGGACAAGGGCAGTGGAGGGAGGAAGGGAAGAGGGACAAGGGAGGGTCTGATACGAAATCACCTATACAGTGAACTTGAGGTTCGGGCTTACGACCGCCGATCGATTTACATGGACTCTCTCGCGTCGTTACAGCTGATTATGTACAGTCACATTACTCGCTACTGTTACTTTTTCGTGATCGCTTGCGCTTATCTTCTTTTTTTCTCTTCTTCACACTTGATTGTTAAGTCACGCCGACCGAGAACGTGATTTTCGATATCTACTTTCGGGAGAGTCTCCTCACAACACGCTCGCTGGCTGAATAAGATTCTCGCGTATGTGTATGAAAAAGATTGATATATCCCCGACATTTCCTGTTCTTATAAAATGAATACGGGCAGTATAATACTTTGTCTTATTCTAATTCTCTCGGTCCGCCTTAATGCGTCACCACTCATCCTTGAATTTCGAACGATTCTCATGGACGTGAAAGATATGTGATATCGATTGATCAATTTTTCGACGATCGTTCGGTAACGATTGCTAGAGCCAAGGAATTCGTTGCGAATTGAGTAAAGAAAAAAGATTACGTAGCTCGGAAAGTTCAAAATCAGATCTGTTAGGGCAAGAGCACACGACAAACAAAGGTCGATACTCATAGGCCGGTATTCATAGTCAATTCTTATTTCAAAACCGTTTTAAGTGATCCTCTGATTGATTTGTGATATCTCAAGATTGAACTCAAAACGATTTTGAATATAAGAACTAACTATGAATATCGGCCATAGTTAATTCTTATATTCAAGATCTTAAGTTCAATTTTGAGATGTCATGAACCGCAATCAAAGAGCCGCATTAACGTCTTAAGACATTAAGGCGATCTTGAAATAAGAACTGATTATAAATGTCGGCAAAAATTTCGGCCGATGTGTCATTTATGAAAAATCCTTGGCAGTGTATATAACCGTGTACATGGATTCACAATTTTAACCCTCCGATAATATGAATTTTAACTTTTCTGTTAGAAATAGAGTTTTTTCATTGTTCCGGATTATACATATAAAAATTTTAAAAAATTTTAAAAAAAGGTATCTTATTAAAGTTTTAATAAATGAATTTTTACTGTCATTGGATTGTATTAACTTTTTTACAAATTTAAATTTATTTACCAAACAGTTTAAATATCAGTAAAGACCTCAATTATTGGCGAAAAATTAATTATAAGCAGAAATTGGATCGATAAGAATAAATCAAATAAAAGAAAGCATCATATTTTTGATCGAAGCGAATGTTGATGCATAATGATATTCATATGTAAATTTTCGTAAATACATTTTTTCAATTCAATAAACTGCGCGCTGATTCGATTTGTCGGACTTAAAATGCAATCGTAAACTACATTATTAAATAAACATTATTATTAAATTGACAATCAATCTAATTTCAGATATATCAATATTAAAAAATTTTAATTGTTTTCCATAAACGATACAACAGTCGACCGACATTTCGACTATCGTGTGATCTTGCATTTATTAGAATTCACGAAATTCTCGACGTCTAAGAGAGAAAAGAAAATAGAAAAAAATAAGACCCTTTTTTTCTTCTCTTAAAAAGGAAGAACCATTGTTAAAAACGAAGAAATAACGAAGCTACATTTCATTTGTAATAAAAATAGATAGATTTAAAAAATACTTTCATCTACGCACACAAAAATCCGATCCTGGCATCGTCAAAAAATCGCAACGCCGCGACGACAGTTCAATCGATGAGAAGAGCGTGAATTTGAAAGATCTCAGCGGAACTCGTTGTCGAACGTTTTCGTGTCAAACATGAACGCCGAGAGAAATAATTTCCACAATTCTGCCTTCGCGTGGATAAGTGACGGAAAGTTAAACGAGGCGCTCGACAAGTCGTTCCGCTGAACTTCCTCTCGAAAACTTGAACGTTGCCAACCTATCGTTAGACTTTCCCGTGATAATATATACAGCGATATATTAACTAACGAGCAACCATCGTACTTGACCATTATCTCTTTATATACACTGAAACATCACACATCCGACAATTGATTCGACGTTATTCGCCTCTCGAGGATAGCGACTACTTCGCGTTACCAACGAGACTCTCGTTATTCATTCCTCGGTCTGTCACTCACTCTCTCTTTCTCACTCTTTCTCCCTCTCCTTTTTTCTTTTTTTTCTTTTTTCTGTTTTTTTTTTACACATTACGAGTCTATCGATCATCCAAAGCGCGAACTTTTCCACGAGCAAAGTTCGTGTTACACCGTTTCCATTACGCTTTTCGTCGATTCGTTAGTTCCATTCTCGGCGTAAAAGTTTCACGACTTCGTCGCGAAGTGTCACGTGGAAGACCAGTTTTTGCAAAACCTTACAAAGTGAAGCTTACCTCGCGCGAGAACGCAAAGAACATCGCGAACGCTGTCGCGTTATGTCCCTTTTGGACTTTTCCTTCTCTCTCTTTTTCCCGTTCAGGAATCGAACGCGAATAACGGTGATAACGATTTGACAAAGGACCCGTTAAAACTATGTATATATTTACACACACGCACACGCACACACACACACGCACACGCACACACACACACGCACACGCACACGCACACACGCACACACGCACACACACACACATATACACACCCCGATGGGAATTTTTAGAACATTTGAGAGCGTCCGAGTCTTGCAAGAGTAGTATTTTTTTTTCATCATTCGGCGGGGAGTACAGACAACTCATATCAGCGCGCGCGCGCGCGGTAGAAAAATTTATAAATGCTCTATCACAATTATCAATAGAGTGTAATGTGCGCCTGGGTTTTGTTTCCGTAAGAATCGCTTCCACTTTGTACGTTACGCTGCTCGACGTGGTTCGATTTTCATCCCTCTTAAGATGCAACATGAGAGGGTTGTCTCTTCTCTCTCTCGACTGTCCGTTAATTCAATGGTATTTACTTGACATCGTAAAAATTAAACGGCAGTTAAGATTACGCGATCGATGCGATCTTGAGATTCGATATGTAGACGCGTTCGACGACTTACGAGTGCTTTTTCTTTATCTCGAGATTTTCTTGAATTTTAATATCGTTATCGTTATTCACGTCCGCAATATCGGGCGAACGTAAATATCATCGACCGCATTCATTCGGCATTGTCGATACTGCGATATGTGAAAGTTGTGCCCAAAATATCGAATTTGAAGAATTTAAACAGGATATCGACGCCCGCGTTTCTCACCCCCTTTCTCTCTCTTTATCGCGATATCGGAGCTGATCGTTCAACCTTAAAACCGCATTTCACGCCTTCAAACTACACGCCAAAGTGGCATCGAGCATTCCCTTTCTTTCTTTCATTTCCCTCCCGCCCTCCTCTCGCCCGATTTCTTCTCGGCTCCTCCTCTATCCCTGGTATATTTTCGCGCGATTCTTCCATTCGTCTTCATTCGAGCCATCGGAAAAGGGGTTCGTTCGAGAGCCTTTTATCTTTTCTCGCGTTTCACGGTCTGATGCTTCCGGACCAACGTTTCGTTGGTAGAATTCGAATTTATTTAGAAACGTCGCAAGATGCTAGAGATATACACGATAGATACTAGGTACTCTAAAAGATTTTAAGGGAAATTTTCACACAAATTCAAGACGAAAACTTCGTGTGACTGAAATGATTCAACAACAAAATGAAGCTATATAAACGATCCAAAAAATTTATTTGATTTAAAGAAATTATGTAGAAATCCGTCATTTCTTAGCTTTTTTCAAATTAAAGAAATTTTTTCTTTAACCGTATAGCGAAGAAAGATTTTTTAAATCTAAGAAACATTTTCTCTTAAATGTTTCCCTACCATAAACACTGATTGAACATTTTTTTCAATAATAGTTGAAAAGTTTTGGACCCTCTTCAGTATTAAATTGTCGCGTTACCATAATTCATGCATTACATACAATGATATTGCAAGAATTTTATGTACGCAACATCATTGTATGTAATGCATAAATTATTAATAATGCGACGATGACTTAATACTGAAGAAGACCTAAAACGCGGGTCGAAACTTTTATTTATTTTATCTTAGTGTGAATTGAAAATAATAAAATTATTGTACGCAACTAAATCTAGCGTCGGCTCTCAGAAGTTTTTCAACTATTATTGATTTTATATCATTACAGCTTATATTTTCTTGATTAAACATTTGTTTGTTTCATTCAATGTTTAGCAAATGATTATAATTATTATATAGAAATATAATAATAAATATTAGATATTATATGGCTCGTTTATATAGTTTCATTATTTATTTTGTTGTTTAGCAAATTACGAGCTTTTTGTTAAATTCATTTCGAAACGGCTTAAGTCTCAAAGATACAGAGGGTGTTAAAGTTAAAGAAAAAAATTTTGTTTTTTTTCAAAAATTTCGTAACTACTGAGATTACTTTAATAAAATTGTCTAGCTTTTGATTTTTTGTTAAAACTTTATAATCTTTTAGATTACTTAGTAGTTTTCCTTTGTAACAAAAAGAGAAGACAAAAATAATGAACAAACAAGAAAAGATCAATGAGTCCAGAGGAAATCACTCGAGGCCGGAAAATGTATAGCAAAATATAACTGACTGGAAATAAAAGAAAGAGAAAAAAATAGAGTTATTTTCTATTATATTAAAATAAAAATAATTCTATCGGCCAAAATGCCAAAAAAGGGACTGAAATAAAAGGAATGAATTTTGATAGTCTTCCGTCAAGATACTTTCAAAGACGAGATTTTAAATTCGATGTTCAATCTGCGCAGCTCTCGCAACTCGCGATTCGATTTTCCATTCTCTCTTTATGGTCCGCGGCCGCCATAAAGAAGGGAAACGAACTTGGAGAAATATTCGAGAAGACGCAACGTCGAAGATCATCCGGTTTGAAACAAAAAGAGGGGCAAAGACGGTTAAGTCGACGACCGAAAACAGAATACTAGAACTTTGCAATACCTCCCGAGGCGGGACGGGGAAACTTCGACGAGTTTTCGGTTAACTTCTTCGCATACCTCCGGCCCCTTCCTTTCCGCTACACAACTGGAAACTGGTGCGGCGATCGTATTTCGGAAACAATCGCGACGGACGGTGTCTCTCTTAATCTCATAGACCATCCCGCGAGAAGTTGCGTCGCGCGAGACTTGCCCTCCGTTGCCCTCCGATCAGGTTGCCATCGGACTCGAGCGAAATCAATTGTTCACGAGACATAATGTCGATCCCCGATACGTAACGTATCCCCGGGCGTCCTATTGATCGTTCCAACTACTCCGCTAGCGAGTCCTTTCCCGTTTCGCCGAACGAGTCGATCGCACCGGAGATCGTTAGCAAACACGTTAAAGCTAATAGACGGCTGTCACGAAAACGGGACAACGCGAACGCTTCCCCGAGTAGCGAGACCTCGAAATCGTTCTAGGATACACGACGAGTACGTATACTCTCGAGCATGTTCGAGACCTCTCGCCTTTTACCGAGATCTCGTGCCGGCCTCCGATCGCGGCGCACGCGATAGCCATATTCTTGAATGCCATCAGGATGACGGTGACGACGGCGACGGTGATGGCGACAACGGTACCATGTCACTTGCGGACGCGCCAAGCTTCTAGACGCAGCTCTCCGGCAGCCTGTTCGCCATCAGTCTTCGTTTGATCGCCTCGCCGTCGAGGCACTCACCGGCTACGATGACACCTTGTCCGCCACCCACGACGACACCCTGGGCGCCACCGATTACGACACCTTGGCCGGCGCCCACCATCATCCCTGTTACCGGCATCCCCGGCAGATTTGGTATCGTGCTCCTCGACGGTAACCTCAGCTCCGTCGGCCTCCCCGTGAACTTGTGGCAGAGCTCGTCTATGCTTGGCGTAGGTCCGGGCGTGACCCAGTGTCCCGGGGGATAACCACCCGGGTAACTCGGCGGGCTGACCTCCACGAGGTTACCCTCTAGAACATCGAAGCAGACGGGGTTCTCTGTTGGGAACTGCAAGTCGAGTGCGTTATGGGGCGGAAACGCGGAGAATAAGTTGTGCTCGGGGGTTGTGCGGTCTTCTTTCTTTTTCACGGTTCCTTATTCTTCGCCGATTCTTCATTTTAGGTCATGCGGCAAGAGTAAAAGTTCGCTGCAAAGTCGCGACTAAAATTTGTAATCTCCAATGATAGCGCGTTTGGTGAACAGTATATGTTATGCTCCTTTAAACTTTTTGATCAACTGTTTTAATGTACAATTTTTATGTAAAAATAAAAGCAAATATCTCCGAAAAATACTAGACTCCTGGGAAAATGATTCTATTCATTTTAATTTTAAAAAAGATAGAACACTAAACCTTTTTTCCCTTTTTTGAACAAACTTCGATGCACTTTAAAAAATACGGTGATCGGTTAAAACTGCAATTAAAACGCAGATTAAATAAAAATCTTCTTTTAATTAAATTTGATCGAAAGCCACGTGTAACTTTTGAATTTTCAAAATTAAATATACGATATAGTAGAATATAAAATAAATAAAGAAATAGGTATAGAAAAAAGTTACAATTGTAATTTTTCTACATTGAATTAAAAAGAATTTCTAGAACTAGAATTTCTCTATCTGTAAAAACAATGCTACGCGTTTATCATCAAGTATCCTGCACAGGCATATAAAATTTGATGAGGGAATAAAGTCTACTATTTATTATTTATCTAGTCTAACGTAGTATCCCAAATAAACGATTATGATATGATTTTACAACCGTGACTGTATAACATGCATGCGTTCCAATATTCACCGTCAGTGCTGAAAATCTACAGCGCCCATAACGTATGCTATAGATTTTCAGCGCTGACAATGAATATCGAAATGTAGTCCATATTGTTTCCTTTATAATAGCAAACAAGCAAGATATTTCAATAAAACATATTCCATAAGTCTTCGGTTAATTCCAGGTTTGCAGGGGGCATGTGCCACTGTGTATACAAAGGGTCTACAGACCATCGTAATCGGATTCACGCGAAGGCTGTTTAGTGGGTATCGGCTTCGAGGAGTCTTACCGAACTTGTTCGGGATCACGTCGGGATCAGTCTCCACGGTCTGCTGAGAATTCTGCAAAGGGTATTGTTGGGGCGGTAACTCGCTGAGTTCCGCCGGTTTCTCGTGCCGCGGTTTTGCTACGCGTTCTCGACGTACTCGGACCACCACTACCAGGATGATGAGCACTAGAGTCACCAAGGCGCCAACCACCACGCCTATCAGTGGCGACAACACGATACCAGCATCCTGACCTGCAACAACAAGAAAGGTCGACTCTTATCTTCTTGCTGCGTTTCAAGCTCAATTAAAGACCGATTAAAAGCTATTTGCTCATTAAGTTGTTTCGTCGATTAAGTAAATAAATAGTTAAGGTAATATTTATAAGTTATATATTTAATAATTTATTTATATATTTATATTTATTTATATTTATAAATTACTGTCACATAAAATACAATGATATATTCTTTCTTTATGCACATTTCTTTATATTAAGAAATTATGAGTGACCCGACTATTTGATTTCACAAATAAATAAAATAAATTATAAAACGTGTAAATTAATTGCTTCTTCTCTTTTTAATTTCAAGAAAATATATTTTACGCCTCTTTATCTCTTAATTATTGTTATGAATCATTGCGAATATTTTGTCTTTCCTTATACTTACTACAAATTTTTGTATACTTATATACGTATTGTATGATAGACACAATGTTGAATAATTAGATCAGTGATAAGGATTGCGAGGAAAGAGTTATTACTCCTCGTTGTTGAGCCGAGTGGTCGAAGAATAAAGTTAATGTGGATAATCCTGTGAGGTAGAGGATTAACCACACTGTGTCGCCGTAAAAGGAAAACGACTGCTGCTTCTACCCTTCTTACTTACGAGTCCCTTCATTTTTTTCGTCTCTCCTTCTCTTTTACAAGTCAGCTTTTACTTTGCTACTCGCGTAAACAAACCTCGGCCGATGTCACAGTAGAGAAAACATTTTATATTCCTCAATGTCGGGATTACATCTGGCGTGCGGTATTTTTTTGCCGTGCTGTCACGTACATGATGGGTTTTACTAGCATTCGATATTTTCGAATCGCTCGTAGAATCTCAAGTAGTAATGGCAATGCACGCCGGAATGAGAAAATATCCGGCTGTATAGAGATATGTGCTGATGATTAAAAATCACATGCAAGATAGATGTGAATGCAATAATATTTGTTTATCGTTTATTGGAATATTAAATATCCCTCAGGAATCAAATGTTACACAGGTAGGACAAATATAATTATTTAATTTTCAAATATAAAATATGATTTTGAGTCACAATAAGTTCGCAAATTACATTTTTTTAGTTTCTTTTGAAGAGAAAATAAATTTTCAAATTCACGCTTGTTTGTCAGAAATATAATTTAAAATCCACTTTGAATAAATATAGTATATAATTCATGCCGAAATTCCAAATGGAATTTTATTCATAATTTTATAAATTATATGTAACACAAAAAACGTTTAAAGAGTAAAATATATATTAAAATAAACATAAAAGAGATATGGAATATAAAATAGTAAATAGAATTTTTTTGCCTTAGGTGATCCATAAATTTTAATGCTGTACATGTTACAATGTATGCATGTGTTTTAATACATATTTTATACATGTATTTGGTACATACCTATGTAAAGTATATTTTTCATTTATGCGTTTTAATTCTTTTATTTTTTTTTGTATTACACAGATATTAACAGACAAAATTATAAATAAAATTCCATTCTGAATTCAGTTATCAATAATGGAACATTTAAAGTAGCTTAAGTGATATTCGAACAGAACTAAATAAAACAGGAACGTTCTTTCTCTTTAAAAATTTTGCGTGCCGAGCTAAACGCGCAATGACACCGAAGGTTTGCTCTATGGTTAGCTAGTCATGTTGAAATTATTTCTCACGATGCAAGGTGCGCGATCATCGCACGGTATGAGAAATCTTGCAGGGTTGTTTTTCGCCCTTTTAACCCTGCCGCCCTACGTATCGTCGGGCTCGCGCACACGTGATAGCGTCCCACTTGATAGCGCCGGCAAGGCGTGGGACCGCGCCTGCTGTTTTTGTCGGATAATTAACAAAACTGCTTTCTTGCACCGTTCTGAGTTGCGATCAGGTGCGCCGGTGTGCAAAGCAGAGCTGCGAGCTACGGGGTGGAAGAGCGCGCGTACCGCGAGTCTTTAATCTTTAAATTCTCGCCAACTTATTTACGTCGATTAAGCCAACTGGCTCGCGATGTCTGATGCGCGCTTATATCGCGAACGTGAATCACGTTGGTATCGTTTTAGCATTGAACAATTATGTACTCACATCAGCTTGAAGATTAGTATTTTTCTAGCTACTCTAAAAAAAAAAAAATCACCAAAAAAAAGTCATTTCTCATCACCATTGACCTAATTCATAGCTTTCAGACTCCATTCAGTTATGAATATCTTACTAGCCGACATTAAAAGTCTTTTTGAGGGCTGAAATTCTTAACATAATTTTGATACATAAATAAAACTTTTCCAGCATGTCACATATCTTATAATATGAAAAAAATTTACGAAAATAGCTCTTTCTTTATAATTTTAATTGCAAATTTCCCAAAATTATGACGTGATAAAGCAATTTGAAAAAAAGATTCATATTCAGAAATTACTAATCTTGTTCCGGTATTCAAAAAATCTTTTTTATCAAATTTAAATATTTTTACGTGGGAAATATTTGTGTAGCATACAAAGTTTTACATTTACTTTTATCAAGATGGTAAAATTATGGAGAAAGTATTTTATGAATTAATTATTATACAGATAGTGAAAAGATTTGATAAGATTCTCATTAATTTTATTTGCTAAAAATAATTTTATTGAATCTGTAAATTATTTCGCTGTAACAGGAAATCATCTCATTGCCACAGAGAAATATATTATTATTTACTAAAAGCGGTAGACTTTCCATTTCGTTTTAAAAGCAAATTTGTGTTTCTCTGCAGACAAATTTGTTCAACGAGATGCTTCAACAAAACAGACCGGTGTAATATCAAATAATTAATAACGATCAACTAAGTTTAATTGCTTTCATATCGAATAGCAGCTACTATTCTTCAGTAAATCCATCTTTTTCTCTTATGCTCCACATGGTAGGGAAGTGGCATCGTGACAATTGGACCGGTCGTCTCGTTTGCGTGGCTTGCGGCAACTCTCGCTGTAATACCCCGGTATATTTACGCGTGTAAATGCATTAAAGTGCACGCGTGTATGCGCACGTAACACGTATGTATGTATATGTGAGGTATTTTGCCAGTGCACGCGGATGCGCGCGGTAATGCCCGTAAAACCCTGGGTTTAATCAGCCGGCAACCTAGGATACACACCACCGTGACCGAGCCCGTAACCCGAGGAACGTTCTGCGTCACACGGCGATATAATGCCGGGCATGGTGTCGAGCCATAAATGAGCTCCACACCAAGAAACTTGGACGGCGAATTCCGGCTGAATGCCGGAGCGACGAGCGGAGTGCGAGCTTAAGAAACTCGTAAACGCGAGTCGCAGCATCCCACGAATGACCGCTTATCCGCATCTCGAAAATCCTTGTTTTTACGCGTCGCGTATTCTCAATTGCGTGCGCTCTACGACTCGTGTGCGTGGATGGATTTTCTAGAAAAGCGCGTGCGAGGAAATTCACGGAAAGCTACCAGACAGTCACGACAGGATGGCAAGTTGAATTTTTCCCCGAGTGACTCTTCTGCGGTGCTCAAAAAGAGACAAAAAAAAAAGATACTAAACATGCACACTGAGGCTATTAATGTAGCTTTGCGTACGCGCTGTTGCGTTTTTAAAAGCCACCTTTCGTTTATATTACGCACTGAAGGATTTTTGTAGAAGCGAATGTGTATCTCGTTTATAATACTGAGAAAAATGATCTGGTTGGATTAAACAGTAATTCTGAAAATGGACGAATCAGAAATTTCTGATTAAGTCTACTAGAATTCTAATTGAAATAATTAGAATTCTGGTTGATATGATTATTCTAGTAAAAATAAAAATTCTGGTACATTTTCCTAGAAATATTATGTCAACTCCAGAATTCCAGTTATCTCAACTAGAATTTTAATAAATTTAACTAGAAAATTCTGATTCGTTCATTTTCAACTAGAAATTTTTTTCAGTGCACTAAATAGCAACATTATTTATATTTCGAGTTCTGCCAATTAAATTGAAAGATATTTTGATACTTGCACTGAGAAAAAATAGCCTAAATTTAAATAAATATTTATTTAATAAAAAGAAGCGATTAAATTAATATTTTCTGTACCAAATAAATATATTTTTACATTTAATAAATACTTAATTACTATTCAAATAAATATTTATTGAAATTTAGGATACTTTTTTCTCAGTGTGGAAGTCAAAAATAATAAAATGTTACTTAACTCAAGGGATTGGGTTACCTTCTTATATTTAATAGTAAAAAAATCATTTAGGATAAAAAAAACACAAATGCAAAATTTCAATTATATAATTTTTATGCTACATAAATTTTTTAATTTTTTTCTTTCCATTTCTTTATAACTGCGAAAGAGAGATATCTTTCTAATTAAGACACAAAAGTCACATCATTTTGTGCGAGATGATCATACGAGTATCACACTCGACGAACTCGTCGTTTCCATTTTTTTTTTGTGTAATTGGCCATGGCTTCGACTAGACCGTAAAGGAAGATTTATGGAAGTCACAGTAGCACGTACGACGAGCATGTCACGTGTGAGCACACATAAGCGACACGGAGTCCTATTGCAACGAGCTTAAGAAACTCTCGTAAATTCATCCTACTCTGTGGATGAACTGCAGTAAGGCTTTTGACAATTTAGTTGAGAAAGATTTATGATGCCGAAGTACCGCGACGCGGCGCTACTTTGACGATTTAAGCTTTTAAATATTTCATTATTTCTCTGTTATTTTCGAGCCGCGAAACGGCTCGAACTATCGCATTTTAATACACCTCGAGTTTTAATTATGTAATCATTTTGTTTTCCGTTTAAACTCCTTTTACTTGTGCCTAAGAATAAAAAAGTATCGTAACTTGAAGTTTAATTTACATTATCGAATGTTCCACGTTTGTTATGGCTCTTGCAAGTCTCGCGATTCCTCGCGTGCGAGCGTGTGTGTTTTTCGAATCGATGGATAATTTTTCAATTTATTATTACTTCTATGGAACTTGTGCTCGATGGGGAAT